TGGCGTGGCTTCCTGCATAGTGTGCGGATGTTTCGCCTCCTCTGTCCGTCGAATGAAGCTGAGCGAGGCCTGCGATGGCCTGAAGCGACTGAAGCGCGGCCTGCACGCCACCAAAGGGGGGGTCGCAGGCAGAGCTCGGCCCTCCCTCCTCCCTGCCACGCAGAGATCGGTCTAGGCCTCCAGCGGATAAAAGGTAGCCTCAGGCGCCCCGGTGACAGCCCGGAGGCAGCCTGGAGGCCCGCCAGCCTCCACGATCACAAAACCAAGGTTTGTGATCGTGAGCCCCTGGGCCGCCCCGAAGCGTCCCTGGAGGCTCCCGGCGCGGTCCCCGACGGCCGCTGCTGCTGCTGCTGCTGCTGCTGCTGCTGCTGCTGCCGCTGCAGGCGAGTCGTTGTAATGAAGCTGTGTGCGGGGGAGACCGCGAGTCGGCGGCTGCCCCCCCCTTGGGAGAGCGGGATCATCATCAGCATCAGCATCAGCATCAGCATCATCAGCATCATCAGCATCAGCATCAGCATCAGCATCAGCATCAGCATCAGCATCAGCATCATCATCATCATCATCATCATCATCATCATCATCATCATCATCATCATCATCATCATCATCATCATCATCATCATCATCGTCATCAGCATCGTCATCATCATCATCATCATGATCATCATCATCATCATCGTCATCGTCATCGTCATCGTCATCATCATCATCATCATCCTCCTCATCCTCATCACCATCCTCATCCTCATCAGCAGCAGCATCAGCATCAAATCCTCATCCTCATCCTCATCATCATCAGCATCATCAGCATCATCATCAGCAGCAGCATCAGCATCATCATCATCACCACCACCACCATCATCATCATCATCATCACCAACATCACCATCATCATCACCATCAGCACCATCATCAGCATCATCATCATAAACAGCATCCTCATCATAAACAGCATCCTCATCAGTATCATCATCACCACCACCACCACAACCACCAGCAGTATCATCATCAGCATCATCAGCATCGTCATCACCATCAGCATCAGCATCAGCATCAGCATCGTCGTCATCATCAGCATCATCATCAGCAGCATCATCATCAGCAGCATCATCATCATAATCATCAGCGTTATCATCATCTTACTCATGATCATCATAATCATCGACATCATCATCGGCATTAGCGTCGTCGTCATCATCAGCATCCTTATCGCCGTCATAATCATTAGCAGTATCATCATCATCATCATCATCGTCATCATCATCATCGTGCGTGTTACCAGAATCATCATAAGCAGCACCACCACCATCACCGTCGCCATCATCAACAACCTCATCGTCATCACCAGTATCACGTCCGTCATCCCGCTCGTCCGCCAAAAATCTCATCCTGTTCCTCCCACTCTTCCTCACCTTCCCCTTATCATTATCATCAGCATCAGCATCCTCATCATGATCAGCATCATCATCATCAGCACCATCAGCATCGTCATCATCACCATCATCATCCTCGTCGTCATCATCATGATCAGCATCATCATCAGCAGCAGCAGCATCATCATCATCGTCATCATCAGCATCATCATCATCATCATCATCATCATCATCATCATCATCATCCCGTTTCTCCTTCTCCGCATCACATTTATCTTCACACCCATTTTCCATCAGCGGCACGACGCGGAAGATCATGTCAGACGTCACGGATCTCCCAAGCCACGGGACGCGAGGTGTCACGCGTTACGGTTTCCTGCCAATCGCCACCAAAGGTGCTGGGCTTGCACGGTGGCAGGACTTGCCGTAGGCAGCGGAATACCGACTCGCATCGTCATCGTCGATGGCGTGCCGCTCGACCTGTTCTCGGTCATCTCGAACGAGGCCGGGCTCCAAGGTGTCCACCCCGAGAAGCCCTCGTCGTCGTCCTCCTCCCAGAGCGTGTCATCCAACGCTTGCGGGAGCCACGCCGCAGCAGCTGTGCTGGCGCTGCTCAACATGCGGTCCATCCTGCATGCGGCCTCCAGCGAGGGCTGCGCGCCAGTGGTCGCATCGGTGAGCACATCCTCCTCCTCCTCTCTCTCGTCCTCCTCCTCCTCCTCCTCCTCCTCCTCCTCCTCCTGATCGGCCTCCAGCGAGGGCTGCGTGCCAGTGGTCGCTTCTCTGTCCGCTCCCTCATCCTCGCCCTTCTTCCCGGACGCGAGCTCGGAAGAGTGCTCCCACACCTCCGGCTCCCCGAGGGCGAGCACGTCGGCCGCAGCCACGAGTGCTGCCATCTTCTCCGGAGAGGCTGCGGCGAAGAGTGGGTGCCGTCTCTCTGCTCAGCTTGAGCCCAAAAATGGCTGTGATATGTTGGAACAAGGACTGCATCTGGGGACGAGGTGCATGCGACGCTCCGCCGCCCCAGGGCCTGTCAACCTTCAGCTCCCCCCCCTTGGCCAAACGAAAGAATACCGGATTCTCGAACCGCGATCCTCGGACATCCACCCCCCAGGGCATCGAGGGGGTAGAGGAAATAGCGCCAGAGGATCAGCCTGCATTCGACGATGGGCGAAGCGGTGGGATTCGCAACAGATCACGCCCTCCCCCCTTCAAAGCGGTCTGATGTTAGTTTCCCTTCCCTACCTTCTCTGGAAAAAGAGGGGCTCAGTCCCTCCCCCTCGCTTGGGCGGCGGAAGATCTAGAGGCAGGGTTAGCGAGGAGTTTATAATTCGGGTGTCCAGGTCAGTGTACGGGGCTAGGGTGACCGGGGCAGGGTGGTAGGGTTAGAGTTTAGGGCTAAGGGTTAGGGTTCGGGTGGTCAGGCTAGCGTAAACAAAGACATATTGAAACCGCGAACTACTACAATGAACGAACGACAATCCCGCAACTTGCTTACAAGACTCAAGAGGCCGCGGTTGAAGTCACGAGCAGTACCTCACTGGAAAATGTCAACAGACGTACTAACGAGTGGACCCATATCGTGAACAACAACAGCTCGGGCGGGCCGGGTCGGGTCGGGCGGACGGACCCCGGCGGGCGGGTCGGGCGAGCTGACCCTAATGGGCGTGCGGGTAGGAGGTCTGGCGGGGCATTAAAGCAGCTGGGAATCCATCATGCAGGGCACCAACGCGTTGGACCCGATCGTTGGACCCGATCGTTGGCGACCTCGCGTCAGCACCTTCCTGTTACGTTTGCATGGCGACCGGAGCCAGCGGCCAACACTGGCATGCGAAGGCTGCTGCGATGCACGCTGCTTACAGTATACGAGGGGGGCGCGAGTCCCCCACGCGGTGCGATCTCCCGACGCCGAGGACACTGTCATTGAAAATCAAAGCATGCTGATGCCTCTTGAGACAGACAACAAATCGGAGTGCAATTCTCATGAGTTCTGGAAGTGTGCGCGCAAGCATCAAAGCGCATGTTTCTTTGGACGTGATTGTGCTATATGAAGCCTGCAATCTCCACAAAGCAAATGACTGCTCAATGACGCTGACATGAGCGCGCGCGTGGCCCACATGGCATGCATTGATGAGGATTGCTGTGCAGCGCACTTGTTGTGTCAACGTCTGCGCACCGCATGTTTAACACTCTCCAGGGATGACAATAGGGCAACGAGATCTATACATATCCACTGCTCCTGGCCAGGCCCATCCTGGGCCAGGAGAGGTGCAGATGCCTCCCTGGCCAAGCCGATAGGGCGTATACACTGCTCCTGGGCCCAAGATGGGCGCAGTTGATATGTACAGATGTCGTCGCCCTAAACACGGAGGGAATCGATACCGGCTGTCCAGGGATGTTTTTGTGTACTGAAACTAACTGCCTTGTGTAATCCGCCGACCCTGTCGACGTGTGCGAGAAACCTATCGGAGCTTGCCGAGCGAATCCCAACATCATCCGCTCATCCCATACAGTGTTCAGGCCACTTCCACACAAAACCAATTCATCTCGTACAAGTGAAGCCCCTTCCGTGTATCCCTTCTCCACGGGGGGGGGGCTCTACGTTACCCAGCTCGGGGTGGCCATCCGTCGTTGGGTGTAGCACGGCCCTCGGTCAGAGTCGTACTTCCTCACCAGTCGTCAGGAGGAATGCGCACTGATGGGGCGTTGCGGGGCCACGTCGTGTTCGATGCTTCGCGCGCCGAGTGCGGAATGACTGCGCTTCGCCTCGTGTGTGTGTGTGTGTGTGGGTGTGGGTGGGTGGGTGGGTGGGTGGGTGGTGGGTGGGTGTGTGTGGGTGTGTGGGTGTGTGGGTGGGTGGGTGTGTGGGTGTGTGTGTGGGTGTGTGTGGTGTGTGGGTGTGTGGGTGTGTGGGTTGTGTGGGTGTGTGGGTGTGTGTGGTGTGTGTGCGTGTGTGTGTGTGTGTGTGTGTGCGTGTGTTGCGTGCGTGCGTGCGCGTGCGTGCGTGCGCGTGCGTGCGTGCGTGCGTGCGTGCGTGCGTGCGTGCGTGTGCGTGCGTGCGTGCGTGCGTGCGCGTGCGCGTGCGCGTGTGCGTGCGCGTGCGTGTGCGCGTGCGTGTGTGCGTGTGCGTGTGCGTGTGCGTGTGCGTGTGCGTGTGCGTGTGCGTGTGCGTGTGCGTGTGCGTGTGCGTGTGCGTGTGCGTGTGCGTGTGCGTGTGCGTGTGCGTGTGCGTGTGCGTGTGCGTGTGCGTGTGTGTGTATCGATTGGCCCCTTGGGCTAACAACATAATCCTAAACAGTCCTCCTCCTCCTCCTCCTCCCTCCCTCCCTCATCCTCATCCTCATCCTCATCCTCATCCTCATCCTCCCCCCCCTCCTCCCTGCCCCAGTCCCCTTCCCCTCCCCTGGTCCCGCCCCCCTTGTCCCGCTCCCCTGCCGTGTCAGGCAACGCCAGGGCCAGGAGACCCACCAAACTCTACGGACGTCTGCGGCAGGTTTTGCTGCGAATACTCATCGAGAGCTGTCGTGTGCTGAGGACCCGCTGTGCTGTCCTTATTCATTTCGACAAGGTGCAATACAGCGAGGAATATAAACAGTGCACCAGCTTCCTAAAAACAAAAGCGAACATATGCGAGGACGACTGCGCCTATGTAGTCCAGCAGTTGCATCCGTGGAACAAGAGGGACGCCGCTACGATGCGAGCGCCCTCTGCGGGGCTCGAGCGCAGGCTCTCGCGCCTGGCTATGGACCCCCCAAAAAATGGGGAGGGAGGGGGAATTCGGAGGAGAACGAAGAGGACTCTACAATGACTGCGTGGAAAGAGACCGACGCCCGCGCTTCTCCAAAAAATCCGCGGTCGCGCGCAGAAGGGGGATCGGGGGCACGAGGGGGCGGCGCTCCCGCAAGGCAGGGGGGCGCCCTGGAGAGGCGTGGAGGCTCCAGAGAGACCCTCCAAGAGGCCAGGAGGGCTCACGAGGGAGGGCCTCCAAGAAGGCCGCCCCCCCTCGGACGAGGAAGGGGAGGAGGAGGAGGAGGAGGAGGAGGAGGAGGAGGAGGAGGAGGAGGAGGAGGAGGAGGCCTGCCTGGCGCGGCTACAGGGGACGAGCCTCCAAGAAGGCCCGAGGTCGTCTTCGGACAAGCAACCCCCCCCTGACCCCGCCTCAAATCCCGAAACGGGCACGGAAAGAATGGGAACAATGCCCAACAGCAGTTCCTGTTCATTTCGAACAGGACTCGCTGTCCACGCCGCCGCGGCCTGTGTCCATTTGAGACAGAGGGCCGCCTGCCCAACAGCGGCCGCTGCTGGTTTGGAACAACATTTGCTGTTGGGCATTGTACCCATTTTTTCGGTACCCATTTCGGGCGTCCAAACACTGGCCCTCCCAGGGTCCATCCCGGCGAGTTGTTCGAGCTGCGTCCGGCCGAGCTACACCGGGGCCCCCGCGGGAGGTCCAGAGAGGACGAGGCGAAGAAGACGTCCCTCAGAGCGCAGCCGCCCCCTTCCGCGCGCCCCAAAAGTCGAGGAGGAGATCGACTACAGAACAGATCTACCCCGAAATTTAAAACCTCGTCGAATATACGAAAAGAGCGTATAATGTTTGCAAGTCTACGAACAGTCTACACAGTCTTTGCACATTCAAACAAGTCTGGAGTAACTCGATGATGTAGCCAGTCGATCTCCTGCTCGGAATGTCTGTAGCGGGCCGCTCCATCGAGTGGCTGTGGCGACCAGCCCCGTCGCCTCCGGGAGAGCTGCGGCTCGAGCGCCGCGGCGGGCAGACCACGCCGAGGCACAGGCCGCAGGCACCCCCAGGGACGGGGGGCTCGCCCGTCAGGGCCGTCGGGCGGGCGGGGGGGCCCCGCCCTGGACACCAGCCCAGCTTCGACGCGGGGCCCTCGGGGAGCAGGAGGGAGGAGGAGGAGGAGGAGGAGGAGGAGGAGGAGGTTGCCAGAAATGCCCCTGGCCCCAGGTGCCCCCAGGAGTTCCAAGGAGGCCCCCACGGCCTCCAGGGCACCCCATTACGAGGCCCAAGGGAGGCCCCAGGGGCTTCAAAATGGAGCGAAAAGCTGGCGGTACCTTGGGCCAGGGACACCTTTCGCAACCCCCGGCGGAGGAGGACGGACGAGAAAGGTAGCGGAGGGGAAACTTGGCCGTCGTTCTGCCCTGTCTGGGCCTCCTCGAGGCTCCTCGTCGACGCGGCTGGATGCGCCTCCAAGTCCTGGCTGGCACGTGCTCCGCGAAAGGTGCGGGGGGGGTCGACTAGGGAGGAGGAGATAATCGGGGGTTGCGAAAGGTGCCCCTGGCCCAAGGTGCCCCCAGCTTTTCGCTCCATGATGAAGCGCATGGGGCCCTCCTGGGCCTCGTGATGGGGTACCCTGGAGGCCGTGGGAGTCTCCTTGGAAATCCTGGGGGCACCTTGGGCCAGAGGCACTTCTGGCAACACCCGAGCTAAGAGGAGGCAAAGAGCCGCCTGGCCGAGCCGCGCGTCCGGGGCAGGCGGTGGCACTTGGCACGGCAACCTCGAAGGGACCAGCAGGATTCGGAGGAAGAGGAAGAGGAGGAGGAGGAGGAGGAGGAGGAGGAGGAGGAGGAGGAGGCGGAGGCGGAGGAGGAGGAGTAGAAGGAGGAGGAGGAGAGGAGGAGAAGGAGGAGGAGAGAAGGAGGAGGAGGAGGAGGAGGCGAGGAGGAGGAGGAAAGGAGGGAGGAGGAGAGGAGGAAAACGCGAGGAGGAGGAGGAGGCGGAGGCGGAGGCGGAGGCGGAGGAGGCGGAGGAGGCGGGGGAGGAGGGGGAGGAGGAGGAGGCGGAGGAGGAGGGGGATGAGGAGGAGAGGAGGAGGAGGAGGAGGAGGAGGAGGAGGAGGAGGAGGAGGAGGAGGAGGAGGAGGAGGAGAAGGAGGACGAGGAGGAGCAGGAGGAGGAGGAGGAGGAGGTTGGAGCGTCTTGGGGACCACGACTCTTCCCGAACTACCGCCTCAGTGGACGGGGCCGCCTGCAGCGCTGACCGCCGAGGGGCGTTTCGACCGCTTGAAGGGCCACACGAGCGAGCGAACGAGCGCCATTATCGTTAACATGGAGATGGCGGTTCCTGCTCTCCTGGCGAGCTAACCGATACAGCTGGAAGTAAAAGGCAGTAAACTTAAAGGTGTCGGGTTCAGGGTGGATCAGTCCCAGAGCCAGGAGGGGGTCAAAAATGAGGGGGCGCGGGGAGGTCGGCATTCAGCTGCCTGCGAGCGAGCATATACATGGAGCAGCAGTGTTAAAACTAATGTTTCAGCGAGTCCCGAGCCCCAGGACATCCCCAGATGCAACCACGATATGGGTTACGCATCCTCGACTCAGCGATCCACCCCCCACCCGCCCAACCCCTCACGTCTTAACGCAAGCAGTGCAGCACGAGGGCGGGGGGCGAAGCATCACCGAGGCAACAGCCGACCAGTCGATCGCCGCGACGTCGGAAGCGCGGACCCCAAACCAGCACTGCAGTTCATGGGCCAGACGGTCGCGAAGGCGAGGAGGGGGCGCGAGGGACGATCGAAGGAGAGAGAGAGTAGATGATTGCTCGTGGGCGCTCTCGAGGCGCGGCGCCGCCTCATTGGCGCCCTGCCGCGCCCGCAGCAGCGCCCTCACCGCCTGCGCCCTCGGGGGCGCGCCGACTGGGGACGCCGCGCGCTGCAGCGCGACCGCGATGGCGCCTCCGAGCGCCACCAGCACGGCCACGGCTGCCCCCCCAGCCAGCGCACCATCGGCAGGTGCTGCTCCGCCGCCTCCCACAGGGCCGCGGCCTCCACCTGCGCCACGGCGCGGAGCGTCGCCGCGGCGGCCCTGACGAGACACGCCGCGCGGCCGCCATCAGGCGCCGGCCGCCGACCGACGGGAGCTCGCGCCACTCGCCGTCGCCCAGGAAGGCGCCTGGGAGCCGCAGCGGCCCGGGCAGCAACGCCCTCCAGCCGCCGCAGCTCGGAGGGCGGCCCCAGCAGATGCGCCTTGCAGCCCAAGACGGAGACGCAGCGTTCGCAGCAGAGCAGGGCCAGCGAGCGCACGTCGGCCCTCGAGCGAGACGCCTCACTCACCCTCTCGCGAAGCTTGGCGAGGGGCACCCCCCACTGGGAGGCCGGGTCGGCGCCGGGGCCGAGGAGCGCGCCGAAGTGCCCCAGGGGGCCGCCGACGTGGAAGCCCCGCCAGTCGCCGCAGGCCCCCGACAGGCGGCGGGAGGTCTCGGCGCCGAGGTCCTCCGAAGGCGGGGCGCCCAGCGGGATGGCGTGGCACCTGGTCGGCTCGAGCCGCAAACTGGCCAGGAGGGAGGTGCGCCATCTTGAAGACGCGGGCGATGGAGTTCAGCGCCTTCGCACCTCTGACCGCAGCGCCCAGGTCGTCAGCGCACCATCGCACGCGGCCGCGCCAATTCAAATCAACGTGGACCTCCATGTCGCGGCCGAACGCATGCGCGGCCAGCGCGCACAGCGAGCCGCCAGCATGGTCGCGCTGCAGGATGCCCGAGCGGACCATGCACAGCGGCTGGTGCGACCGAGAGGCGGCGAAACTCTGGACGCAGTCGCAATTGACGCGCAGCGCCGCCTGGAAGCCAATCGGCACCTGGGAGGCCCGCAGGGCGGCGAAGACCCAGTCGTGCTCGACGCCGGGGAAGGCCTGGCCGAAGTCGAACGCCAAGAGCATCGGGAAGGAGCCCAGGTCCCCGTCGCTGGCGCGCATCGCCAGGATGCGCGAGTAGGTGTCCAGCTCCACGATGTTGTCGCAGAAGTTGCGGCCACGCAGGAAGCCGCGCTGCGTGGCCACACAGCGCTGCTCGACCGCTGGCGTCATGCGACGGTTGATGGCCCACATAATCACCTTCTTCGGGTTGTTCTCCGGCGCCAGCGGTCGAGTCTCCAGGACGGCGAACCACCCCGATCGGACCCTCCAGCCCGGCACCTTTGGCATGGCCACGACCGGGAAATTCCAGGAGGCGCGCATTGGGGGGCCAGCAAGCTGCCAGCGCATGGCCAGCGTCAAGGCGTCGACGCCGAGCGACGAGGCTGACCAGGCGTCGGGGCCGAGACCGCCAGGACCAGGCATGGCCCGACGGGCAGCGCGGAGCGCCAGGGCGATGGCAGCTTGCGTCGGCGGCTGCAGGAGACCCCAGTCGACGCACTCGATGCCGCACCCGTCGAGGTATTCCGCATGGAGCCGGGCCTCGCGGAACTCCCTCCGCGGCGCCTCAGGGGCGAGGTCAACCAGCACACCGGCCACAAAGGCCTTCGCAAGCAGGGGGGGGGGCCAGTTGATCCAGCGGCGGCCGCGGGGGCGGCCGAGGGAGCAGACGCAGACGGCGGGCCGCATGCTCCATCCTCGACTTGGGGCCGCCGCCAAAGACCCCGCGACGGTAGTCGCCTTGCGCCCGCATCACCTCCAGCTCCGCCCTGGCCACGCCGCCGGGCAGCTCGATGGCGCCGAGGAAGCGCCGAGCCGAAGGGGGGTCTCGCAGCGCCGCGCGACGCCGAAGATCACGTTGCTGGCGGATGAGGGCGGTCTTGGAGCGCGCGTTGGGCCCCGCGTCGATCTGCTCCTGCCGACGGCGAAGGCGGGGCTGCATCGCGCGGTGCTGCGCAAGCCGATAGGGACGGGCGAACTCCGCAAGGTCGCGGATGCTCGCGCGACGGCTCGCCACCTGGCCCCCAAGTTAGAAGACCTGTGCCGCCCGGGGGGCGGCGATGGAGGAGGCGCTCCGCCGCCGCGACGTTTTGGCGCCGGGCAGCACGCCCGAGCTGACGCCAGACCATCGCATTGGGAGCCTTGCCACCAGCGTCACCACTGAGAACAGAGCCCCGCGCCGCGCCGCCGCGCACCGCAGAAGCTCGGTGCGCACATGGGCGCGGTCGGGCGGCGACAGCTCATGCAGCGGGACCTGCCCCTCGCACGTCCGCGCAAGCTTCGCGAAGCACGGGTGGTCGAGGATGAACTCGGGGATCGGCGCGACGATGCCCGCGGCAGGGCGCCGACTGCGCGGGCGGGGTGACCAGGCAACCGACAGCATGGCGTGGTCGGAGAGGTCCTGGACGCGGAGTTCGCGGGGCTCGCCGCGCACTTGCACACGTTGCCACGTCTGGGCAAGCAGCCACCTCGGCGCGCCGACCCAAAGCTTATCGATGGCGGTGGCCAGCTGGCGGCCCTGATGCCAGCGGGCGGGCTTCCCTGGCACCATCTCGATGGCAGCGCCAAGGCGACGTTGCCACGGCCGCCCTCGAGGGTGAAGAGCAGCGCGAGGACCAGAGGATCCTCGACCTCGGCGTTCTCCCCGTAGTTGAAGTTCCCCGAGATGGTCACAACGTGCTTGAGCGGATCGCTCTCAATGAATAGAAGATCCCGTCGAATGGCAGCAGCTACCCATCGAACCTGCTCACGCGAAAGGTCGTGGTCGCGCACGTTCCAGTGAGTGAGGGGGGTACCAGTGTCAACCCCAGCCTCCACAACCTCACTCGCAAAACTCTGGCACAGACGTAGGCACGATGGCGTAAAACAACATCAGGACGAGCTCGGAAGGGGAACGCCGTGGCCACCCCGCCCCGCGCTTTGCTTCCCGAGCAGTCGAAGCTGGAGAATAGCAGATAGTCCAGCCCCGCGCGATCAATCAGCGCACGCAGGCGCACGGCCGACCCGTGGGCCTCCTGCGTGCCAAGGATTGCCACTGCACGGAGCTCGGGGAGAATGTAGTCAATCTTTTTCTTGGCCGCGCGCGGCTGGTGGCGGCAGAAGGCACGCGCGTTCCAGGTCGCGAAGCACAGCTCTGCCTCCTTCTGCGGCTTCCCGAAGAGCCGCGCGGACTGGCTAAAGACACCAATCCTCCTTCTGTGGCGCCAGCACCGCCGCGACCGCGGGCTCGAGGTCCGCGCGATTGAGCCCGAGCTCCTGGAGGGCCGCCGGCGACCAGTGGACCTGGGGGTTGGCCGCGGGGCTGGCGATGGAAACCCGCAGGAAGGACCGCCAGGACAGCGCGAAGGAGCGCGCAGCCTTGTCCACGAAGATGCGGCGGCGCTGTCCCACAAACCGCCCAAGCGCGAGAGCCAGGCGCTTGAGGAGCAGCTCGTGGGCCACCTGCTCGCGGTTCTGGTCCGCCGAAATCGAGACGTCCGCCTCGTGGCCAGCGGGCGCGGAGCCGCGGAGGCGCCTCCACTCGCCAGGGCCGAGGCGCATGCAACCCAGGACCTTGCGGGAGCGACGGGCAGCCAGCTCGGGAGCGCCTTTGAAGCGCAGGGTGCCGAGCTTGCCGATGGGCTCCGCGTCGACGCGGTAGCTGTCTGCACCCAGGCGCGCATCCGCCAGCAGCGGCGCCGCCGCCGCCAAGGTGTCCTTAGGCAGGTCCTCTTTGCAGCGCAGGACCACCGCCGCCGAGCCGGGCTCCCTGTCCCAATCGAGACCAGCAGGAGCTGGCTGCGGCTCCGTGCTCGCCAACAGGCCCGTATCCTCCCTGAGCTTCGCCATGTTTCCTCGCAGCTGCTGCTCCATGAGGACCGTGCGCTGGTCCACGGAGGCGACCAGCTGCTCGACGGCGCCGACGTGGGCCTCCATGACCGTGGAGATCTGGGCCAGGTCCGCGGGGAGGGAGGCATCCATGCTGCTGATGATGGCTGCCTGCAGCTGCTGGATGAGTTGCTGCTGCGCCGGGTGGTCACCAGCACCAGGCAGCAGCCAAGGACCAGGAGCAGCAGCGGGGAACCGCGGGGCCACTGCCCTCGCCGCGGCGGCCTCGGGCGGGAGTCCCCGAGCAGGCGCCAGGGGGGGGCCGCCAGAGGCCAGGTACTGCTGCCAGGGGCCCGGGCCGCGGGCACCCGCGCCACCGCTTTGCAGCCGAGGGGCCTCCCTGCGGGGCGCCAGCTGGGGCAGCCTGCGGCGTCTGCTGGGACAGAGAGTCGGGGAACGTCGCTGCCTCGTCGAAGTCGTGGGCCAGTTGCTCCAGCTGCTCATGGGCGAAGCCTCCTGCTGAGGCGGCAAGGTCCGCACCGCGGTGCGAGGCCCAGGGCGCCGCAGCGGGCGGACCGTCTCTCCCAAACACACGGCAACGATCGGCAGCACGAGCACGGCCAGCACGACCGGCAGCAGCGGCAGCAGCACGATTGGCGCGACGAGCTCCACGACCCCCTCCACTGCGCGATGCCGAAACCTGGCTGGCCGACCGAAGCATCAGATATGGAGCCAGCGCGATCAGTATCAGCATCCGCACCAGGGTCCGCGATGTGATGGACAGCAGGGTGCGGACGGTCGTACCCGACAGGACCCATGGGAGCATGTCCGAGGAGACAGACTCTTGGCCCCAGCAGCGCGCAGCTCGACTGGGGGTGCCTGAAACGGGAGCTGGCCTCGGACTAGAGGTATCCGCTTCTTGCCCGAGGGACAACAGCATCTTGAGCCAAAACGGCTACGGAGGAGGAGGAGGAGGAGAAGGAAGAGGAGAAGGACCAGTGGAAACCCACTCTCCAGGCTCCCTCCAAGCTCTCTCTCTTCATAGGCCCTCATCAACGATGTTGGAATAAACCCTCCCTCATCAACGATGTTGGAATAAACCCTCCCTCCAAGCTCCTTTTTCATAGGCCCCTACAACGGTTCATTTCCACTGAGGGAACTGCCCCGTTGGAAGACAACCGTCTGAAGAACCTGAAGCATGCCAACACAATCTTCTCGGGATTCCAACGCCACGGATCAACCTGACTGTTGCGTCTTGGCGATCTTGAACCGTGCCAGAGAACCACTCCTGGGACTCCAACACCACGAATCAACGTGACCGTCGCGCCTTCATCATCCTGAATCCATCCGAAAACACTTTTTTGGCACGCTGACCATGGGAGCCCGCGACATTCTTGCAAATGTTTAAAGCTAATGCGCGCGACGCTAAGGCGAGAGCCACATTTTGAAAAGGAACCGCCCTCAATGCGAGAAACTCCTGCAATGTGTTTAAAACGAATGTGCGCGGCGCTGAAGCGAGAGCCACATTTTGAAAACCACCCGCCCTCAATCCGTGAAGATCTTGCAAGTGTTTTAGAAACGAATGCGCGCGTCGCTAAAGCGAGAGCCACATGTTGAAAGCGCGTTTCTTTATGTTCGGCGATGACGGGCGTCATGGGGGGGGGGAGGGCGAGGGGGGTATGACGTGACGCCCCCCCCCGCCGATTGGCTCCGGCACCACAGCCACGCCCGCGCGCACGACGCGACGAGCGACGAGCGACGAGCGACGACGACGACGACGCGAGCAGCATGTAAGTGGCGATCTGCCCATTGCGCCTGTGTACACCATGACGCTCGCGTGCACCACACCGCGCGTGTGCACCACAGCGCCTGCGTACACCGCAACAGCCGTGTGCAATGCACCGCCCGTGTATACCACAAAACTTGGGAGCACTACAGCGCCGGCGTACATACACCGCAGCAGCCATGTGCAACACAACGCCTGTATACACCACAGTGCTTGCGTGCACCGCAGCGCCTGTGCACGCCACAGCGCCTGTCTACACCACAGCATCCGCTTGCAACGCAGCGCTGGTGTACACCACAGCGCCTGCGTGCACAGGACAGGTAGAAGGAACATGTACGTCAGGATCTGCTGCGGACAACTAAACGCCACGCCAGGAAACTTCTGAGAATCGAATACGACATTTTTCCTTCCTCCCTCCTCCTCCACCTCCTCCTCCTCCTCCTCCACCTCCTCCTCCTCCTCCTCCTCCTCCTCCTCCTCCTCCTCCTCCTCCTCCTCCTCCTCCTTTTCCTCCTTCTTACCCCCTGTCGTGCGGCTTGGCGTTACAACGCACGTGCGCATCTCAGCGTGCCCGCAGAATGGGCGATTGAATCGGTCCACTTGGTTCTCGGACGGCCAGTTTAGCTGGAGCCTCCTGGACGCAAATGGGAGTTAGGGTGATGCGGGCGGACTCGGGGGGACTCGTAGATTCCAGCGGCGCTCCTTTGTCCATGAGGATTTGTTTTCCATTGTTTTCTCTGGAACCCACACGCGCTCCATTTTGTCACAAGGATCCCTTCTGAAATTCTATGCACAACAGTGGTGCTGTGTTGCACACGGTTGATGTGGTGCACACAGGCGCCGTGGCGTACACAGGCACTGCAATGCACGCAGGCATTGTGGTGTACACTGGTGTTGTGTTGCGCACGGCTGATGTGGGGTACGGAGGCGCTGTGGTGTACGCAGGAGCTGCTGTGCCCGCAGGCACGGTGGCACAAACTGACGCTGTGTTGCACGCGGCTGCTGTGGTGTACATCGGCGGTGTGGTGTACACAGGCGCTGCGGTGCACGCGGGCACTGTGATGTACACAGGCGTTGTGGTGCATATCGCCACCTACATGTTCGTGCTACCCGTCCTCCGTCATTCCTAAGCATTCCCAGACGCCGCCGGCGCGAAACGTGACGTCATCGACCCCTCTCCCCCCCCAGATGATTGCCGTCATCAGCCCGGACTAACAAACAGGCTCCAGCCGCGTCCGCGCGCACGACGACGATGAGCGACGAGCGACGAACCACGAGCGACGACGACGACGACGGACGACGACGACGACGACGACGACGACGACGACGACGACGACGACGACGACGACTCCTGCGGACCAGACACCTATGCGGATTCCTACGCGGACACCTACGCGGATCCCAATGCGCACGGCGGCAGTGCCCGGAGCGCACTGGGGGGGGGAGCGTTACGTCATGGGGGGGGGGGGGGAGCGGGGGCCATGACGCCCGTCATGCCCCAAGCAATAAAGAAACAGTCTCAAAACCAACCGCCCTCAATCCGTGAAACTCTTGCACAACTTTGAAGCGAATCTGAGCGGCGCTAAGGCGAGAGCCACATGTTGAAACGGAACCGCCGTCAATACGAGAAACTCTTGCAATTGTTTAAAACGAATGTGCGCGGCGCTGAGGCGAGAGCCACATGTTGAAAACCACCCACCCTCAATCAGTGAAACTCTTGCAAATGTTGGAAACGAATGTGCGCGGCGCTAGGGCGAGAGCCACATTTCGAAAACGACCCGCCCTCCGTCTGTGAAGCTGTTGCCAATGTTTAAGCTTCAGGGTCACGATTGGAGAAGTCTCAAGCGAAACGCCCGGCAAGCCCTAAAAACTTGCCTCTGGATGCGACAGGGAGAAATTACTTCTAAGGAGAAGGAGTGGAGGAGGATGAGGAGGAGGAGGACGAGGACGAGGACGAGGACGAGGTGGACGAGGAGGACGAGGAGGACGAGGAGGAGGAGGAGGACGAGGAGGACGAGGAAAAGGAGCAAGAGGAAAAGGGGGAGGAGGAGGAGGAGGAGGAGGAGGAGAAGGAAAAGGGCGAGGAGGAGGAAAAGGAGGAGGAGGAGGAGGAGGGGGAGGAGGAGGGGGAGGCGGGGAAGGGGGGAGGAGGAGGAGGTGGAGGCGGAGGAGAGGAAGAAAACGGGAGGCCACGACCAAGACTGAACACGGAAACCGTCGATCTTGGTCACCGTCGACCTTGGTCAGCGTTAATTCGTGGATCATCCTCGCGAATCGGCGACGGCCGAAATGTGGACCATACCTTGACCAAGATCGGCATCGGCAGGATCCCGCGACAGCTTGGTCATGGTCCCCTTGATTCTTCTCTCGAGAAATGACGAGAGAGCGAGAGGGAGCGGAGACTGGCAAGACGCGTGCCAGGACGCATGCCGCTGCGCTGCGTCGCCAGTCTGCTCAACGGTCGACGGTGCTTCGGAGGCTCCTTCGAGTTGGTCCAACCTGCCGGGTCATGTCTCCCGGCTGGTCGCACTGGACCAGCAGCGCTGCGGCGCCCTAAGTCCGCACATCGACGGCCCAGGCAGCCACGCTCACTGTGAAGAGATACCGACTGGCCTCGTCGATGGCGTGCCACTCGACTTGACTCCGGCCATCTTGAACGAGGCTGGGCTCCAAGGTGTCCACCCCGAGAAGCCCTCGTCGTCGTCGTCCTCCTCCCAGAGCGTGTCATCCAGCGTTGGCGGGAGCGGCGCCGCCGCGACGGTGCTGGCGCTGCCCAACATGCGGTCCACATCGTGGGCAGCCTCCAGCGAGGGCTGCGTGCCAGAGGTTGCATCGGTGTGCACCTCCTCCTCCTCCTCCTCGTCCCCCTCGTCCTCCTCTTCCTCCTCCTGATCCCAAGACTCGAGCTCGGCAGAGTGCTCCCGCAACTCCTGCTCCTGGAAAGCGAGCGCGCCGGCCGATGCCAGGAGTGCTGCCATCTTCTGGAGGTGCAGCGGCGACGGAGGGTGCCTTCTCTGCTAAGCTTGAGCCAAGATAACTGTGATGTCTTTCAGCATGAACCGCACATCGTTGCAGGGTGCATGCTATCCGCCACCGCCGACACCGCACCCTCTGGCACATCGAGGAGCGGTAGAATGTCGAGCGCTGTCTGGCAAGGTTTCTGCATTTTTCTATGACCCCCCCTCCTCCCGATCACGGAGCCCCTCACGCAGCTGCATGCATCACCCCACCCCGCATTCTGGCTTGCTCTTCAAAAAAATTGTGTTGGCCACCGTGGACCCCAAACAGTGTGTTTCTAAAGATTTATGTCGTGCGCTCTACGTGGAACTAGTTCTATGCGATGCACTCTACGTGGTGCAACATATGCGGTGCAATACATGTGTTACCATCTATGTTCTGAGGAGTCCTCAGGGATTTTCCAAGGATTCCTATGGATTATTGAAGACAACCCTGGGATTTCTGAGCAGCCCTGAAGAATCCTGAGGAGCCCTTAGGGACTCCTCTGGGACCCCTCACGACCCCCTAGGATCCGCAAGGAGTCACGCGGGATCCCTCATGGATTCCTCAAGGAGTCCTCAGGAACCCTACCGATTCCAGAAGAGTCTTGAGGACTTCTCACGGATCCCTCCGGACTCCTCAGGAGAGTCCTCAGGATGCCCCAGGGAGTCCTCAGGATGCTGCAGGGACTCCACAGGATTCCTAAGGATCCCCCCCCGCCGATCCCCTGCAAGATTCCTGAAATATTTGGCGGTTTCCTTGTGACTCCGAATCGTCCCTAAGGACGCCTGATGATTTCTCAGGTTGCCCGAAGACTCCTCAGGATTACTAATGATTCCTGGGGTTCATAAGGATCCCTGAAAAATGCCGCAGGTTTCCGACGTATTCCTAAGGACCACTCAGGACCCCGAAACATTCCGCAGGATCCCTGAGGACTCCTGCGGAACACTGTGGACTCTTGTGAACTCCGACACATTCCGAACAATCCCTACGGGTTCCCAATGGATCCCGAAGGACTCCCGAGGCTTCCTCGGGGTTCCCACGGATTCCCCAAGACCCATCTGAACTCTTTACTGATTCCGACGGATGACGCAGTATTCCTACGGTCACCTCAGGGTTCCTACAGATTTCGACGCATCCCGAAGGATTTCGACGGATCCCCAAGGCTTCCAAAGGATTACCTAGGCAAGGTCCTCTAAGAACCCCTGGGCATTCCTGACGGTTCCGACGGGTCCCTGAGGAGTCCTGCGGCTTCCTGCTGTTTCTTGGGGATTCCTGAGGGCTCGTGAAGCTTCCGAAAGTTCCATGGATCCCGCAGAACTCCTCCCCCCCAGGAGTCCCAATGATACCTTTGGATTCCAAAGGATTCTTGAGGTTTCCGCATGATGTCCTGGGACCACCAAGATTTCCCGATGGGTCCAAAGGGTTGTGGCCCCGAGACTGTCCCTGCCTTGTGGCCCCGGGGCCGCCGAAAATGGACTCAGGACGAAAAAACAATCCTGGGCAGGGGATCGGATGATTTTCACGTCGCCTCCCCGTCGTCGTCGTCGCCGTCGTCGTCGTCGTCGTCGTCGTCGTCGTCGTCGTCGTCGTCGTCGCCGCCGCCGCCGCCGCCGCCGCCGCCGCCGCCGCCATCGCCCTAAGGGTTTCCGCGGGATTCCCTAGGGTTTCCTGAAGATCCTCTAGGGCTGCCTCAGGATTCCTGAAGGGTCCCTCAGGATCCCCTGGGTTCCTCAGTATCCCCTGAGGTTCCGCAGTATCCCCCACGGGTTTCCTCAGGGTCCCTGGGGGTCCCCGAGGATCCCCTATGGTTTCCTGAGGGTCCACCAGGGTTTCCTTAGAATCCCCGAGGGCTTCTTCGGCATCCCAAAGCCGACAAGATCCGAACAACAACTGGGGACGGGGCCAGAACACGCGTTGGCACCCCTAACATGCCATTTGGTTTTCAGACACGTGATGGGGCCGGGAGGAGCGTTGCTACACTGGCGTGCACGCTCGCTTTCCTGGAGGAGGCCCAGGGCCGGGAGAGGCGTCGGCACACCTGGCGCGCCAGCGCTTTCACCTGGGGCCGAGAGAGAATCCCACAAGCCCTCTGGGCGTCGGTGGTTTCGAGCGTTTCCTCTTCCATCCCTCCTTCCCCTTTCGGGGAGGGGTTTACCCCTCCCCCTACCCCCTCCCCATGGACCTGGACAAGGGGGTTTCGCGAGTCGTCGGAGCGTCCAGAACGGCCTCGGCGAGGAAGCCAAAATCATTGGTTTTACTGGGGGTTGGGCCCCATTTGGGCCTCCTGAAGGGGGGGCCTAATCCCACCAGCCCTCTGGGCGTCGGTGGTTTAGGGCGTTTCCTCTTCCACCCCTCCCTCTTCCCTTTCGGGGAGGGGTTTACCCCTCCCCCTACCCCCTCCCCGTGGACCTGGACGGGGGGGGCCGCGAGCGGTCAGAGCGTCCAAAATGGCCTCGGCGAGGAAGCCAAAATCACTGATGTTGCTAAGGTTTTGGCCCCATTTTGGCCTCCTGAGGGGGTAACCCTAATTGAAGTTCCCGTATTCTTTGATCGATGTCCTCCAAGATGGCCCCAAGAAGCGCCCAGGAGGCCCCAAGAGGCCCCAAAATGGCCCCAAGAGGCCCCAAGAGGCCCCCAGGAGGCCCCCAAGAGGATCCCAAGCGGCCCAAAGAGGCCCCCCCGAGGCACCGAAGACGCAGAAAAGCCCTCAGGACGACCCTCTATTCGCCTGGGCGTCGTTTCTGGATGGGCTGGTGGGGATATTTTTTGTCGCAGCCGCAAGCGAAGGCGCAGGCGGCGTCAAGGGACTCCAGCGGGCTGCGCGCGAACCTAATTGCCGAACGCCGACTAACCGGCGGCCTGAGCAGCACCGAAGCTGACCGGGCAGCGCGAGGGGGCGCGGGCTGCAGCTGCCAGGAACCAGGCCCAGGAGCGAGCGCATGCAAAATTAGCCAACCGAGGTTGGAGCGCAGTCAAAATGGCGCGGGGGCGATACCAGGATGTGGCCAGGAGCATCATCACTGGGAACGTTGGCACCAGCTGGGCCAGGAGGAACTCACAGGCCATGGAACTAGTGCATGGAAGTGGCGCCTCCAAAATCGGACGCAACGAGACTCCTGAAGGGAGTACTGATCCGGACACTTGTCAAACCGTGCACAGAGTGAACACGAACGGCAAAGCGGAGTAGCCAGGGAAACGATGGATGTGATCAACACCGCAACTGAACCTGAGCCAACGGATCAAAGGAAACCACGCGCACTCCCGAACAAGGTCGACGACGTCTGAGGAGAACTGACCAGGAACTGGGCACGTGCACGCCTCAAGCACGAGGTCGAGTGAGTGAAATCGAGGTCGGGTGAGTGAAATCGAAAGTGCCGTGGACACCGCCGACTGGTGGGGATACTTTTTAGTCAGCGGCCGCGGGCGAGCGCGCCGGCGGCGAGTCAGGTCAAAGCGGGCTACGCAGAGACGAATTAGGCAGAGGAAACGCGAGAAAATTAAAGCAGAGGCGACGCGCGAGGCAGTAGCTACGCGCCGGCCGAGGCCTCACGCAGCGGCCCAACGGCAGGTGGATGGCTGAAGGGACTGAGACTCAGGGGAACTGCCAGCGCGCAAAACTGCAAGTCCGTCGAAGGCGCCAGAAGTCGGAAAGTCAACGACGGCCAAGGACAGCTCCGAGAGAGAAAGCACGATACCGTACCTCAGACGACTGCGTGGGCACCAGGGTGGCCGTGGCCAACGAACCGTCAGTCGAGGTAGGAATGAGAAATGCAAAGGCGAGGCCCCGGACGTCGGCGAAGTGCGAGAACCAGGGCGGTCCAAAGGACCGTCGGCCAAGGAATTGATGCCAGGAGGCGAGCGCACTGGCAGGCTGCAACCCCCAAGGTGGCGGAAGCCGACAGATCCCGAGGCAGCAGTACGCACGAGTGCGGCAAGCGGCATAGCCACGACGCGGCCAAAATGGCGCGGGACACCACGTACCTGTGCGAGAGATGGTGTCAGGTTGACTCAACACGGGCCCGAATGGGCACCACGCACAGGGCTGACACACAAGTAATGGCAGGCGGAAGGGCACCTCGGGCAAACAGAAGCCGAAGCCGAGGACCTACCGCACGTGCCGGCGAGTGCTGGACAAAACGATGCCGGGACGGCCGCTAGTCCAGAAGGAGGAATCGCAATTTGAGCGCGAAGGCCGAGAACCAGAGCGGTGGAGGGACGGCACCACCACACTTTTTTGGGTCGCGGCCGGGGCGCGGGCCTACTAATTGACAACAGGAGCAAACTACAACGGCACAACCACACGTTTCTTTTTGGTCGCGGCCGCGCAGCAGAGGGCAGGCGGCGAGAAGGGGTCCGGGGCACGGGCCAGCCTAATTAGCTACTAAGCGACACGCAAGCCGGCCGGGCCAGCACTCAGAAGCAGCGGCTGAGGAGCAGCAGCGGCACCACCACACTTTTTTTTTTACAGCCGCAGGCGGAAGCGCCAGCGGCAGGCGGTCACGGTCGGGCTGCGGCCGCGACTAGGGAGCGGGCGCGCGCGGGGCCGCGGTCAGGCGGCAGGCAGCAGCGACCCAGGGCGAGGCACCACCACACGCGAAGCGTCTAGAATTGAAGCTCCCCTCTTGTTTGATCGATCTCCTCCAAGATGGCCCCAAGAAGCGCCCAGGAGGCCCCAAGAGGTTCCAAGATGGCCCCAAGATGGCCCCAAGAGGCCCCCAAGAGGCCCCCAGGATGCCCCCAAGAGGCTCCCAAGAGACCCCCAAGAGGCCCCCAAGAGACCCCCCAGAGGCACCCAAGATGCTCCACGAGGCCTCGGCGAGAATGCCAAATCACTGATTTCACTAAGGTTTTAGCCACATGTTGGCCTCTTGGGGGGGGCACTGATTAAGATGACTCCAAGAGCGCCTGGGAGAGCCCCAAATGACCTCCAACATGGCGCAGGGTATCCCAAGATGTCTCATAATGGCTTCCTCTGTGTGCTGCCCACTTCCCTGACCGAGGCAGCTCCTCTGGGCATCGTTTCTGGATGGGCTGGTGCGGATTCGCGAAACGTCAACAATTCGAACACGCCGGTGTGTCACTGGCGCTCCCAACCCAAGGC